TCTCATCAGTTGAACATCTCAGATGTTTCTATAGTAACAGAAAGCTAACACATTGCCCTTCAGTTAAACTTCCCCAAATCCTCTTTCTTCATCAGTACCAATATAATGCAAGTTGAGTACAAAAGTTAACATCAAGTTTATGRACATTCTCTTTATACAAACAGAAAAAGTAGCAGTGAAAAGGGAGTAATATTGACATTTAGAATTTCCCTTCCTCTCATGTATGTAGCAGATGCAGGGTGAGCACATTTCAGAATTAACTCCCTATAATGTTAGAGATACCCTTGAAGAATCTAACATGATGTTTTCACTATCCAGGAGACTATTACAGCCAGATGGATGTGAAGAAAGGCAGTTACTGACCAGGTCTCAGCAAGCAGAACAGCTGTCAGGTTATGACTCTGCTGCCACTAAAAGAACACAAAGAAAACATGCACCCAAATACATACAGGAACCCAATACCAGTGGTAGAAATTGTAACATAAATATATTTCCCATGCAAAATAGGCCAAATGACAAATACCTGCACAATACAAATAAAGATCTGAAAATTAAACTTTCTCTTTTGGGGGTACTGCCATGATTCTGTGGTTTCAATGGGTGTCAATCCCACGTTAAACTTGCAATTCTATAAAACCATGATTAAGAGTATAGAAAGCATATTTTGGAAGAAACCTGGGTGTGTGAAAGGTTGCTATGAAAAAAATGAAAACAGGAATGATAGAAGTATACTTTCTTTTATATACAAAAATGAAGGCCCAAAATATGGTTTGTTGAAGTAGCTATCAACAAGATGTTAAATTATTTTTCCTTTGCTTTGGTTAAAACAGCCTTGGAACAGCAGTCAGTTCCCCTTCTACTAACAGCATATAAACACAGTGACAGGACTACTTTTAGTACGGAATAAACAACTTTCAAGAAAAGAAATTAAATTAATTTTAAACTAAATTAAACATTTTTACCAATAAATAATTTCTTTTAAAGTAGCATCTCCATCCTACAATCTCGGGCAGAACATATACACCAATTTAAAAAATAAAGTTTCTCCCACAATAGTCATTACAGGTGTTAATGTAACAAGCTATTAAATGAAATTACTTTAATGTACTTAAAAAAAATTCTAGCAACCAAACATGAATTTTAACAGTTGTCATTTTCTACAATTGTACATATTCTAAAATAATTGACTAATACTTTCTTACAGAACATAATTCAAACTATTGTTGGCATTTCAATATATTCCTAACGAAATGGTTAAAAGAATATTTAGTACACCAAATCTGAAACAGAATTTATAATTCTGATTTACAGCTAATAAAAGGCAATCAATTCCTATTTAAACTGTAACCAGTGATGAAATATACTTCAATAACAAACATTTGGTCTCACAATCTTTAATATTGGTTAAAAACAGTCTGATGTTTGTTGCTCATGAAAGTTACTTTAATCCAATGTGCAAAAAAAGGTGCAGCCATCTGCTTTTACTTGAAATACATAAGACCAACACTACTATTTACACACTTAGATGATTTTTAAATTTATTAATTTAAGCAAGCATATTGCATCTCTTTTATGGATAAATCATGTGCCACAGAGAGCCTAAAAGCTGGATGACATTCCATTAAGCCACACAAATGTTTCTTGTCCTAATTTTGAACCTAAATATAAATCCAATTTCAAAATCAATTAAGAATTACTTTGATCTAATAAGTCTTGGAATTGTTGCACATATGAAAACCTTGTCTCTGAGAGCTTTCACTCCTCTCACCACTGGTCTACTCCACAAACCCCCACTTGTTGCAGAAGGACAATGCCCCCAAAAGAGGAACCTGTGAACCCAGCCCTAAGCACCAGCATCCTGTGGGTTCACAGGATGATGTAGTACGTACGACTACAGCTTTGGGGGTAGATATGGGGCAATCGAAATGGATGAAGAAACACTTCAGCAAAGCAATTATTACCTGTGCACAAAAACAATGTAAAACAGTGACAGAAAAAGTGAACAAACCAAATATAAATCTAATACCATTCTGCATTTCCAGAACTTGGTTTCACACTTGCGCCGTGTTCTTGGTCAATCACCCACCAGCATTTTCTGGGTCTGTACGAAGAACGTTTATTAAGTTATTCAAACTGCTGTTTTGACCAGAAGTCACGTGTGACTATGATGATTAAGAAATCAATTTACTCGATTATTACTCTGTGCAGTGCACTCACAACGCGAGTGTAGAGGATTAAAAATAGAACAGAAGTCTCACCTCTAAACTGGACATAGGAGTTCTCAAATTAAAATCATAAAAAAGAAAGGGAGGGGAGCTTACTGGCAACAATAGACACTAGTCAGGACACTGAAACGGTTTGGTCAGAACTTAGGAACGTAATTTCCTTGACAAAGTTTTAAAACACCTAACCAATCACTGCCTTATGTCCAGCAAGTACACTGCTCCATTCATTTAATAACTGGCGTTCGCTGATCACGATCCATGTCGTCCCAGTCTCGGCTTCCCAGGCGCAGCACTCGGGTCCTCCACCTCTAGCTACAGGCTATTGTCTCCAACTGCTGCTCGGCTTCTGCGGCCATGGCCGCAGCCTGCAACTGTTCAGTCTCGCTCTGGATGGCACTGGGGGTAACCTGCTTCCTCTCGCTGTGCATATTGTTCTCATGTCTCTTCAGATCCGATGCCTTGGCAAAGGCCTTGGTGCAGGAGCCACACACAAAGGGCTTTTCGCCTCTGTGCCTCCTTTCATGGTCCTTAAGGTGGGACTTGTGTTTGAAGGCTTTGTCACACATGTGACATGCGAACGGTCTTTCGTTACTGTGAACTCTCTCATGCTTCTTTAAGTCTGGGGCACGAATGAATGATTTTCCACACACCTCACAACTGTAGGGCTTATACCCTGTGTGGATTTTTAAGTGTTCCTTCAGGTGGGCCTGGGTGGTGAACCCTTTTGTACACATCTCACATACAAATGGCCGGTCTGCGGTGTGAAGCTTCTCATGCTTCCTCAATCTGCCTTCATCTGAAAATGTCTTACCACATGCTTGACAGGCAATCTGCTCCCGATGGTGACCATAAAGTAAATACTCAAACTTCATGTCACTGGTGGCAGTCCAGCCTGGTGTCTGTTCATCTTTTACCTCACTCATTCCATCATTAAATGTTAAGGCTTGAGGGGTCTGGGACCCCAAATCTTTGGACTCTGGGGTCTCCATGGATTCTACTTCCTGACCGTAGCAATTTACTTTTCGAACTTCCTCGCTCCCCAACTCTTTCAAAATCGCTTCCTGAACCCTGAGCGTAGTCGTAGGTGACTTGCCGTCCTCTTGACTTGGGGGGGTGCCTTCTACTGTGTCATCTGAAGGACTGTCATCCTGATCCCCGATTTCTTCCACATCATCATCCTGAGTGTCAGCAGTATCTCCAATGGGGCGATTTATTTTGAGGCAATATTTACTCTTTGATTGGCCATTATTTTCATCAGGACTAGATACATCTCGCTTCTGAGAACAGAGTTTATCCAAAAATCTGATACCAAGAATCTGACCTGATGACATCATTAAGTTAACATCTTCCTTTTTCACGGAGATCTTTGCTGTGTACATGTAGTTCAGGACCTCTTCAAATATATCAGAACGAAGAAAATCTATCTCGATTACTGAAGAGCTATCTACCTCAAGCTTCTTGAAAAGCTTTTTAAAGTAGGTGCTGCAGGCGGCAAGAACACATCTGTGTGCTCTGAATTTCACATCTTCAACCACAATAGCAATATCACAAAATTCTCCTTCCAGGCGTTGTTCATTTAGTGTTTTCAGAAACAGAGTTTTATGATCATCGTCATTGTATTTAATGGTTTCAGACATACTGATGAAAAACTCCTATGAAAACATTTTTTAAAAAAGGAGTTTAGTAATCATGAATAATACTTCATAGAGAAAACATAGGCAGATTTTCATTTTATGACTGATTTTTGGAACCTAGCAATTTCAGAAAGTCAATGTTAGGGATTGCCCAAGAATAAGGGCAGAAAAGACTGATGCCAACTGAGGGATTTCCGTACCGTTTTCTGTTTATCTTCAGTGTACAAAATATCTGTCTACTTACAAGACCAATAGCAACCTTCACAAAATACATGCCAAGCATTATTCTAGGCACTTTATATATTTTAACTAAATTCATGTCCAAATAACCTTGACTTATTCTACCGCCATTTAGTGAAGAGCTAGGACTCAAATGCAGATAATTTAGCTTCAAAATCCATGCTTCTAGATAACCAGAGGTAATCACAACATAAGTGAACCTCAAGGTTTAAGAAACAGTTTGGAGGCAAGAATCCTGTAGACCTGTCTACAGAATCTACTCTAATACCACACACAGAGAAGAGTTTCTAAAATAACTTAAGAGCTCTCAGTGAAAAGCTTCCTATACAGAAGAGACAACCACTGACACAGAATTAGAAAGGGATGTCATTGCCAAAATACTCAGTGCTGTCTTCTAGTTTTTCCATAACAGTTTTATGTCACTCCTAAATGAGGGTCAAGGTTTAATGTGACCTAAGAGAAACAGATGACTTCTGGGAAAATAATGATGAGTGGCTTCATTCCCACTGGACACTAACTGCCATCCAAATAAAAGTATCATCAATATTGGATGCACAGGTTGAATCTATTACCTGAAGTGCTTGGGACCAGAAGTGCTCTGGATTTCAGATTTTTTAAATTCTTGCATACACATAATATGAGATATCTTGAGGTTATGACCCAAATCTAAACATGAAATTCATTTGTTTCACATATAACTAATATGTATAGCCTAAAGGTATTTTTTTTAATTTATTTTTGAGTACTGGGGATTGAATCCAAGGGCACTGCATCATGAACTACATCCCCAGCCCTTTCTATTTTTTAAGACAGAGTCTAAGTTGTTTAAGGTCTCACCAAGTTGCTGAGCTGGGCTTGAACTTATGATCCTCTGCCTCAGCCTCCAGAATTGCTGGGATTATCAGTGTACACTACCATGCCCAGCTGAAAGTAATTTTATATAATAAATTTAATAATATTTTAAACAGAATTTCATGGTGTAGTATTTTCCACTTGAGGTATCGTATCAGCACTCAAAAAAGTTTCAGATTTTCAAAATATTTTGAACTTCAGGTTTTTGAATTAGGGAAACTTGACCTGTTCTTGCTAAGAATTTTGAGTTATTTTACAAGAAAAGAAACTTAGAACTAGCATGAAGGACCTCTGTCACCATGTTAAAGAACTAGTCTTTTAAAAATAATGTGTCCTATTTGTTCTCTTAAAAAATTGTTTTACTTTTATTCAACATAATATAAATGTGAGGAAAACACAATTTTTCCAGAGAAACAGACTGCTATATATAATCAGAATTGAAAATATGCATTTTATAGCGAACACAACATGATTTTTTCAAGATTTAAATTCAAAGGTATAATTACCATGAACAACTCAGGCAATTATCTTAATGCCTTAAACGCCAAAATCTTCAGATCAGAATTACTCTGATCAGGGACACACCAGACCTACAGAGAAAAAGATAAAACAAGAGTGAGGTAACATCTTTCTCTATTCTGAATTCTCAACCAAGAATGTTGTCAAGAATTGAGTTAAAAAGTAATAATAATAAAAACCCTCCAATTCTTTTTGTGCCTCTTGTCCCACTTCACACTGGGAGTAGCAAAGTGGGTGATGAGTATCAGGCCCAGTTCTGAACAGATGTGGACTAGAATGGGTGAGGACTGGGCACAAGGGACATGGAGGGACTGTACACTGCAATAGGAAGGATGGGTTGGAGAACCGTTAAGGGATTACTCCTCATTAGCAAAGCCATGTCCACACTTGTACACATGTGGACCACTACACAGATGACAAACTCCAATAAGCAGCCCTTACCCCCATCGTTTCCAGTTGGGTATGCAACCTTCTACATTTTCCTCTAGGCTTGTACAAACATATACATGCACTTATCTTATATAAAAAACAGACAAAGCTGTACAAGCACACATGTAGCATGGGAGGAAAGAGTAGCTGTTTTCTTTACACACCTGTGTGATAACGAGCACATTTGTCTTTAAGATTGAACTTGTGAAATCCTGGTATCGTATCTCTATCCCCACAGTCTCAAAGAAATTTAGCTTTTTAACTCTTAGCCGAAGAACTCTTTCCTGCACTCCAATATCTTAAAAACCAAAACTCTTCCTCTACTAAACCATGACCAAATAAACTGGTATAGTAGGAGCAAAGGACTGAGCTGTAATACAGTCCCACAAAAAAAAAAAAAAAAAAAAAAAAAAAAACTGATGCAAACCTCTAACCTGAAGACCAAAGTTCCCTCTATAGAAAACACTAAGCCAACTAGAATACTAAGGGGGTTTCTCATCTGCAGTGTGAAGGCTGGGCAAAATTATTTTTAAGGATGCTTCTTACTTGACCATTTTGCTCCCTGTTCTTTAGGGTCCCCAGGGACTACAGTCACCCCCCAGAGAGAGGGCAGTCCAGGGAGAAGTTTCCTACCCTGTCACTTCCTACTGATGTAACTTCTGGGGCTTAGAAAGTAAAAGTGCACGGGTCATACAGTGTCCATGTGTGTCCTGTGTGTGCGCATATGTGGCCAGTGTGTATTTGGCTGTCCCCCTCCTCAAGATCTCTTGAGGACCTGAAAGGAGAGACCATGTGTTCACTGGCTCATTTTTTTCTATGGAGATGTTCCAATTGCTAAGTTCAGATGAGTCAAACCGGAAGACAGCCATTGCCAGTATTTATGTGGGTAAGTGCAAGAAAAGATGTAGCCCCCAACTACACCTCCACAATAAAGCTGCCCTTTGCAACTGTTCCCCAAATCGCGAGCGCACAGAGTCGCCCGTATGGAGCAGGGAGTGGGGCTTCCCGCAAAGCCAAACTTACATAAGCAGCCGCAGCCGCCACCCCTACCCCTGCGACAATGGCTGCCGCACGATTTCAGAAAGGGGAGGAAGCAGGGAATAAAGAGCAAGATCCGAGGCGCTTTCAAAGCGTGTCCAGCCCTCACTCTCATCTCTTTAGGCCCGGGACGTGGGGGAGTGAATAAAGCCTTTTGCATTCCTTCCCAGACAAAAGCTCCCAGCCTCGGAGCTGCCTGGTGAAAGCGTCACTTTCCCTTTCATAATCAGACTAGGGGCGCAGGCTGTCGGCCTGAGCTCTGAGCGCGGGAAGGAGGGCCCGCGGCGGCCCGGCGGCGCGACCAGCTCGGGAGCGGGCGTGCGGACGGCTCCGCAGCTCCGCGCCGCGCCCCGCTCCGCCCGCGAGCCCGGAGCTCGCGCCCCGCGCACTCCCCGGCCGGCTCGCGCCGGGCCCTCCCGCGCCCTCCCGTGGCCGGGGGCGGGGGCGGCGCGCGGCCGGCTTCCCGAGCTCCGCGGGCGCACCCGGGAGTGCGTGCGCGGGGGTCCCGGCCCCCTCCTCCGCAGGCGGCTGGGGGCGGCGCGGTGGGGCCCGCGGCTCCGAGGGGCGGCGCCGGGCGGGCTGCACTTGGCGCCAGGCTCGGGCCATCCCCACCCCCACAGCGGTGCACTGCGGCGGTGCGAGCGGGGGCGGCCATGAACTCGGCCGCCGAGCGCGCGCGCGGGGCCGCCACCGCCTGGCCGCTCCCCGAGCCCGCTCACCGGCCTGCGCGGCCCCCGAGCGCCCCATCCCCACGCCCAGCCCCGGCCCACGCCCGTCCCCGCTCGCACCGCGCCGCGCCGCCAGCGGCGCCGCACATCCTGGAGCTGGCTGGTGCCCCAGAGCTCGGCGGGAACGCGCTTCTTCAAGGCCGACCCGCTGCGCCAGCCGCCCGCTGCCCCCGCGTCCCCGCGCCCGCCTCGCGGATAGCCCCGGCCCCTTCCGCACCCTGGCCCGCGCTTACCTGCAGCCTGGCACAGCCACAGACACTCGCCGTGGGCTCCCCGCGTTCTTTAGCGCGCAGGCCGGGACGGAATGGACGCGGGGCGCGGGGGCACGGTGGGTGGCAGTGTTTTGGATTTTTTTTTTTTTTGGAGTTTGGGGAGGGGGCGGGGTGGGGGAAGTCGTGCACGTCCCTGATGGTAGCAGCCCTCCTCCTTGCACGAGCACAGAATGTCTAGCCAGCCGTGAACACCCCCACCGCCCCCCCCTTCCCGTGCATGCGCGGTGCGGGCTGGGGGGAAGGCGCGCCGCCGGCTTGCGCAGGCACGGAACCCGAGGAGGCCTCCAAGTGGGCGAGCAGAGAAAGGGTTAATCCGGGACCTTGCCGACGCTTTCGGTGGTGTCTACGGGGCCGCCCCCGGAGGACCCTGGCCTGCGCACGCGCGCGCACGCGCGCGACTTGGAGCGCGCGGAGCCCGCGCGCGGGAGAAGGGGTGGGCGGGGAAGGGGCGGGGCTTCGCTGTTGAGAAGCGTATGCACGAGCGCAGCCCGCGAGCACCCGCCCCGCCTGGAGCTCCCGCCTTCTGCTAAGACTCCTGGGCTCCCGCCCGCGCCCTGCGTCTTCGCCGGGGACGCGGGAGCCAGCGCTCCCGTGCGTGTGCATGTGCGTGGGCCTTTGCTGCCGCTGTGCGCGCGCGGGTCAAGCGTTGTGGCTTCAGGGCTTGCCGGGGCACCTGGGTGGGATCCCTGGACAACTTCGCTCTTGATTCATTCTGGCCGGTGTGTGGATGAGCGCTTGCGGGCAAAGGGTCTCGATTGGCGTCGCTACCGCATTTTTTATTAGTGGTTGTTTGCAGAATGAATGAAAAAAGTGCCATCTTTGATTTGAAGTGTAAGGGGTGAACCCAATCACCCAAGAGAAAGGGATTACTTCTAAAGCTCTTCAGTTCCTAATGGGTTGTGCCTATCTCCAGAGCTACTATGAGGAACCTTCCTAGCAGAGTGGAGGGAAAGATCACGTGCATTGGGCAATCTATTGCGGTGGGAGAGCCACCAAAGTTCCCAATGCCAGACCTCTCTCTCCCCGGCTTCCATGCTGAGAGAAAATCCTCTTGTATTTCACGGATGGCTTCCTGAAGTTGCCCATATTTTCTAAAGGAAATTCTGTATGCCCTTGGTTGATTTTTGTAATGTCAACCGCATTGGTTTAACATTTCCCAAGGTGCTTTTATACACATCTTTTCCAGTGTTCACAATAGCATGTTAGCATGGGGTTTAGTGAATCTATTGATGGAGACAAGATAGAATAGAGGGGTTCTAGAGTTAGTCACATCCAATTCCAGTAGTGGTTAAGTTGTTTAACTTTTTAAACCTCAATTTCTTATTCTCTGAAATGGAGATTTTTTTTTAAAGAAAAAAAAAAAGGCACGTAATAAGGCAGTTACTAGGATTGACTGGAATAATACCAGGTAAGTGCTAGCACAAATATTAGCTCAAAAGTGTTAAAAGGACCTGCCTCCACAGATGGTTGATTCCAGTGGCAGAGGCAGGCCCAGACCCAGAACATCTGTCTCCAGAGTTCATCTCATCATACTTGATCCCCTGTGAATGCTTGCTTGATTCTTGTTTGCATAGCATGTACACTTCAATTCTGTTTCTATTTATGGGAGAATAATAACAGTGTGTTATGGTATAGGGTTATGTCATCAAGCAATCAAGCCTGACATTACAGTTACTGTCTGAGAACATGGCTAGCTCTCAGAAATGTTCATTACTACTGCCCCCCCCCAATATCACGCATGGACATTTTTATTCATTCTGCTTTTGTTTATTATCCGCTTACTGTGTGAAGACATCTTGACATATTGATTCTGTATCAGTTATTCCTTACATTTATGTTTGTGTCACCCAGGCTCTGCCTGGCTATTTCTTGCTTGGTCATGAAGTTCATGGGAATGAATCTAAATTAAAGATACAACTCCATAGGAAGGAGGAGCAAGAGGTGGGAAAACAAAAGAGAAGGGCCTGACCCAGACTCTCATTTGTGTTCCCACACTTAATCGTGTATCTCCCAACACTCATGAGGTTCATAGGAAACATCAGCTGACAAGTGCCAACTTAGGGGAGTTAATCAGGATCAGAGCCTTCCTCAAATAAGTGTTTTTCCTCTCCTATAGACTATCATCCTAGGTGATAGTTAGGATCCAATAACTGCTGGGGGACACTCAGAGCATGTTGACCCTCATTGGGGATGTCCATGGCCTCCTGAGTGGAACCTGTTTCTAAGGAAACCAAGGCCTGGGCCTGTGGTGTGAAGTGTAAGGTGCTAGGGCCTGGAGTGTGTACAAAGCAGCCCCCTAAAGATTCTTAGGGGCTTGGGAGGCTAAGGCGGGAGGATCTCAAGTTCAAAGCCAGTCTCAGCAAAAGTGAGGCGTTAAGCAACTCAGTGAGACCTTGTCTCTAAATAAAATACAAAATAGGGCAGGGGATGTAGCTCAGTGGCCGAGTGACCCTGAGTTCAATCCCCAGTAACTCCTCCGCCACCACCAAAAAAAAATTCTTGGAAATGTCAGGTCATTTGGGGTTCTCACAGAGGAGTGGAGTTGATTTCTCCTTTACATCGACCCTGGACCCTGGTAAATGAGAGTGGGCCAGTTCTGAGTAGAGGCTTTGAGAAGCAGCCTGTGTTCCACTGGTGTGCTGTGTGGTCTGCCTCTAGAGGAACACACACAGGTCACCACTTCCTCTTCAGCCTGGGCCCTTGAAGGCAAACAGATCTGAGAGAAGGAAGCCAGCCTGAAAGCCTACCTGAGCCCACCCCAAATTGGGCAGACAACAATTCATCCACAGACCCATGATCGAGAAATAAAGATTTGTTTTTTGAGTCACTGGGAGGTCATGTTTTGTGCATTGTTATTGAGCAAAAACCAGTACACCTGCAGAATGAGATATGTCCCACCCAATGTCATAAGCACCCATCCCCCACTTGCTGCTCTGAAATCCCTGGGTATGGCAAATGAACAAAAATAGATCCACACAGAGACAAAGATGTGCACATTCAACAAACAATCACATAATGATTATACAATTGTACATTGTGATAAGTGCTTTTAAAAAATTGCATATGATGAAAAAGGAAGAGGAAGGACTAGTTTTGATTGAGAAATCAGGGAAAACTCCAAAAACACATTTAAGACCTGTAGGGCCAGGGAGAGAAGGCCAAAGCGGGGAGGGATTGCATTTCAGGCAGATCTGGGAACAGGATCAAAGGAAGGAACTAGGTGTGCGTGACTCTTCAGAGGATAAAGTGACTGGAACACAGTGGACATGAGATGGGCCCATAAGAACAGCAGGACCCAGCAGAGGGCCTCACTGGGAACCGGCTGAGTTTTTTTATTAAGCACAAGAAAACCATCAAAGGATCTCTGTTTTAAACTAAAATTTACTTAGGCAAATATATTAGTTTCCTAACCAGACTAAACTCAACATTCAGCACACAGATAAGACTTGCAGTTTCCCTACCTTTAAACACTGTTGTCTAATACACTGAAATTGGAAATTCTAAAAAAAAAAAAAAAAAAAAAAAAGATTTGGAGTTTCAAACATCTTCAATAATGAGACCATTTACATAGAACTTCCACAGTTCATGTTATGGGGGACATTTTAAACTCCATCCTTTACTACCTAAAAGTAGAAAATTAACAGTTTACTCATGAAATTCACATAAAATGCTATATTAAGAAGTATAATATTGACAAAACTTCTTTTTTCACAATTGCATGATTATCACAGTAAAAATGAAAAGAGAGAAAAATCTAAATTACCTTAGCTTTTTCTGGATCAATAGAAGAGACTTGTTAAATAACAATAAAAATACTATATACTATCTGGGAATCAAATAAAAAGGAAAGAGGTTACTATAGTAGATTCATTTGTATGGAATATACATCTATAAAATATTATCCTAAGGAATTATAATCCCATGACATTTCCAGTGGGAAGCTTGAATCACAAGAAGATGAACATCTGTCAACAGGAACTTCTGGAGGAATTACTACCTCAGAATTGAGTTGGCCACATGGAGGATCCTCTCCAGGGGTGCTCAACTGGTGGGGCATCTAATATGATGGGGTCCAGATATGACTACCCTTTTTTTCTCTGTAACCTGGTCATCCAGAGAATTCTCTTGGTCCTTTTGAGTTAACATCAGAAGAAACTGGACATTCTGTAAATCTTCTCTAATTACAATATTTGGCCACTCTTTTATAAATCTAATATTATTTCAAAACAACAACAAAAAGTTCCATGAAGATAATTTTCTCTGGATGCTTTTGAGATTTTTCTTTGTCTTTAGTTGTTAGCATTTTGATAACGATGTTCTGGTTATGAGTTTCATTGAGTTTATACTGTTTAGAGTTAACTGAGCTTCTAGAATATTTCTCTAGATTTGGGAAGTTTCCACCTTTGTTTCTTCACATTGTTTCCTTTTCTTTTTTTTCTTTAATATCTTTATTTTTAAATTTTTATGTGGTGCTGAGGATCGAACCCAGGGCCTCACGCATGCCAGGCAAGCGTGCTACCATTTGAGCCACATCCCCTGAAAAACCATCCTCTATCTCAGAGCAAAGCCTGTCCAAGGAAGGGACATGACCTTTGTCCTTGGAAAGACCCACAGAGCACTCCTAGGCACATTCCCACCCTGCTAAGTGGTTTATCTAAAATAACTGGAGAGATCTGCTGTGCCAGGTGTTCCTGACTCAGTCAGGCTAGGTGGAGACCCATAGTAACCCCCTAGCAGCCACCAATCAGCATGAGACAGGGAAATACCTGGGATGCCAAATGACCCCCCAGTAGTTTATGGTGGTTGATGACGTGTTGGGAAACCATGTAGTTCAGCATGAACACCTCTCTTGGCTTAAACCAATCAGTTCAAATAAATCCCCCTCTTGTAGTAACCAATCACCCATACCCAACTTGTTCCCGTATCATGTTTTAGAGTTGTTATTTGATTTTCCCACAGTATGTGATGATTTGCTAAAAGATGTATGTGAAGTCCCTGCCTTCTCCAAAGAATGTATAAAACTGCTGCAAACCCTGGGCTCGGGGCCTCTCAGCGTCACCAGTTGCTGTGTGCGCGCTCAGAGGTCTAGCTCGCAATAAACACCTCTTTGCTGTTTGCATTGATCTTGGTCTCTGGTGGTCTTTTGGGGGTCCCGAATTCGAGCATAACAAGCACAACATATAAATAAATGAATAAGATAAAGGTACATCAATATCTAAAAAAATTTTTTTAAAAAACTCTTGTAGGATCGTAAAACTTTTAATTCTTTTAAATCTTTTTTCTCTCGATTATTCAGATTTAATAATTTCTACTGATCCATCTACAATTTATTGACTCGCCCTTTTGT